ACTGTGATGTTAATGCTAAAGGGAGGAATGGCTATACACCATTACATTATGCATGTGAAAAGGGTCATTTTGAAATTGTTAAAATTCTGACTAATCATCCACAATGTAATATTGAAGCTGAAGATTATTCTAAGGACAGACCACTACACAATGCATGTGAATCTGGAAATGTAGACATTGTACGTCATCTTGTGATTGATAAACACTGTGATGTTAATGCTAAAGGGAGGATTGGCTATACACCATTACATTATGCATGTGAAAAGGGTCATTTCGAAATTGTTAAAATTCTGACTAATCATTCACAATGTAATCTTGAAGCTGAAGGCAGTTTTAATGACAGACCACTGCACAAAGCATGTGAATCTGGAAATGTAGACATTGTACGTCATCTTGTGATTAATAAACACTGTGATGTTAATGCTAAAGACAGGATTGGCTATACACCATTACATTATGCATGTGAAAAGGGTCATTTCGAAACTGTTAAAATTCTGACTAATCATCCACAATGTAATATTGAAGCTAAAGATAATTGGAATAACAGACCACTACACAAAGCATGTGAATCTGGAAATGTAGACATTGTACGTCATCTTGTGATTGATAAACACTGTGATGTTAATGCTATAGGGTGGAATGGCTATACACCATTACATTATGCATGTGAAAAGGGTCATTTCGAAATTGTTAAAATTCTGACTAATCATTCACAATGTAATCTTGAAGCTGAAGGCAGTTTTAATGACAGACCACTGCACAAAGCATGTGAATCTGGAAATGTAGACATTGTACGTCATCTTGTGATTGATAAACACTGTGATGTTAATGCTAAAGACAGGATTGGCTATACACCATTACATTATGCATGTGAAAAGGGTCATTTCGAAACTGTTAAAATTCTGACTAATCATCCACAATGTAATATTGAAGCTGAAGATAATTGGAATAACAGACCACTACACAAAGCATGTGAATCTGGAAATGTAGACATTGTACGTCATCTTGTGATTGACAAACACTGTGATGTTAATGCTAAAGGGAGGAATGGCTATACACCATTACATTATGCATGTGAAAAGGGTCATTTTGAAATTGTTAAATTTCTGACTAATCATCCACAATGTAATACTAAAGCTGAAGATGTGTGTGATGACAGACCACTACACAAAGCATGTAAATCTAGAAATGTAGACATTGTACGTTATCTTGTGATTGATAAACACCGTGATGTTAATGCTAAAGGGAGGGATGGCTATACACCATTACATTATGCATGTGAAAAGGGTCATTTCGAAATTGTTAAAATTCTGACTAATCATCCACAATGTAATACTGAAGCTGAAGATGTGTATGATGACAGATCACTACACAAAGCATGTGAATTTGGAAGATTAGACATTGTACGTTATCTTGTGATTGATAAACACCGTGATGTTAATGCTAAAGGGAGGAATGGCTATACACCATTACATTATGCATGTGAAAAGGGTCATTTTGAAATTGTTAAAATTCTGACTAATCATCCACAATGTAATATTGAAGCTGAAAACAATGACAATAAATGGCCATTACATTTAGCAATTAGATCTAGATCTAGCTATCCTTCTGCTAAAAGTCATTTTACGAGCATAGTCAATTATCTTAGTAGAGTTATTAATATGTCTCAATTTAGTGGTATAGCATTATTACGTGTTGTTAAGTGTATATTGACAGGTCCTCCTGGTGCTGGTAAGAGTACATTAAAGAAGAGACTCCTCAATCAATCTCTTGATACAGGTCCTTCTCTTAGTACTGGTGTAATTGATGCAGCTGTACAAGTTAATTCATTTCGTAAACTATCACAGCACAATGCAGTAGTAACTAC